GAGAATAACATAATTAAGCCGTTTGTGCATTTCCCATGCCACATCAGGCAGCAGAGTAGCAGTGATGGTCACTGTTTAGTTATTGTGTAATAGACTGTGCTAACTGACAACATCCGTGATCTAAAAGAAAAATGAAACGAGAGACGAAGCGAGTTGGCGAGTGAGACACCAATTCCACTTTATTTAGTTGCATACTTGATTTACTGGAAGTATTTGTCATGTAGCACTTAACTACTATTTTTACACCACTCGCCACTTAGCTTCATTCCAGATGTCGATGTCATTATTAAATATTTGTGTAATGGAGTGATAATGTAAGTTGAAGATAAAAACTAAGAGGAGCCCTCTGTTAGTTTCCTCTTGAGCTTCACACTTCAGCTTCTGTTCTTCTACTGATTAGAAGAAAAATGTAGGCATACAGTATAGTGTGAAAAACACCTAGAGTTGTCACTGACGTTACCCGTGTCTCTGGCGCCTAGCTGCAAAAAAGAACTACTTCTGCTGCGTCCTGGCTTTCCTTCTTTAACTTACGTTTCCCAACTGTGAATATTGTCTCCCGCAACACGAGAGCAGAGGAGGTTACGGATGAGTAGGGTTGCAAAATTCCGTTCAAAGTTGGAAACTTTAACAGGAATATACAGGAATAAACTGTAAATTTGGGGGTAATGTAGCTGTGTTTACCTTGTCATATACGTCAAAACAACATTTTGTTTTGTCATAAGCAGACATGGATGCAAACATTGAATTTTAAAATTGGCATTTTTGAATCCATTTGTGAGTAGAACTTTAGTCTTTCATTGAACAACAAAAACATGAACGTTGAATAAAATAGCGTATTCCCTAAGATCACCCTGTCCCCTTCCCACACCCCCCAAAAATAAAAATCCACTTCTAATTGAGCTTGTCAAGCCTCTGGTTTTAGTGTTTTTCCTGCAGGGTGGGGTGTGCCCCCCAGTTGAATGGTAGGAGAAACACTGGAGGTGATGGTGTACTTTTGTGTGGACATACATACACCCTAATCTCACTGCTGTAAAAGGTTAGCCTACTGTGTACAATTAAACGTGGTAGTTCAATAATATGGCTTCAGTTTACCAAGTAATCCACATGACAAAGACGTTCAAAAACAACACAACGCTTTATGTTTAATTTTCTGGAAGACAATGTTCCCAACCAGCTGAGCAAAGCTTGCATAGTCTTATTCTCAACTACATCAAAGTTCCCGTGGAAAGTTTACGCAGAGTTTAACGGAAATTTACCGTAAACTTTCCGCTCGTTTGTGACCCTACAAATGAGTGATTTTACAATATGGATTTGAGGGTATTTTGACTCACTAGGATGCTCAGCCGAAAAGGTCGCTGGAGGCTGCGGGGCAGGGAGGATGGGGGAGGTTAGGGGAGGATGGGGGAGGTTAGGGGAGTTTAGGGGAAGATGGGGGAGGTTAGGCAAGGTTAGGGGAGGTTAGGGAAGGATGAGGGAGGTTAGGCGAGGTTAGGGAAAGTTAGGGAAGGGCGGGGGAGGTTAGGGGAGGGTGGGGCAGGCGGGGACCGAAAACATGAGCTGTCAAAAGCAAACACAAAATGAAATTGCCTTCAGATGCCAACAGACCTCGAGTCATTCTGCTGTAAGGAATGTCAGCTTGGGCAGTTTCACTGGACGTTGTCACTGACGGTAACACACAGAGTGGGAGCCTTGTGTGCGTTACTAAGTATAAAGTTTAATTCCTCACCGTATCAAAGGTGGGCTGGGGGTGATCTTCTGGGATCCCCAGAATAAATTGGAAAAGACAACAGACGCCAGCAGGGCAGTTTTTCGCAGATAGAAAGAAACTCACTAGCTGACATTTTAAACTCTCCAGACAGTTGAAGGGCCGACTGCAATTTTGGTGACAACAGAGCAGAATTAACGGATGGTACGAATTCACACTAGAAGCAGAATGTAAGAGGGGCACATGGTGAGTTACTCTGTTGATGTTTTTTTGTTCACAGTTTGAACTGATGCATCGTGACACTGCCGGCTGGGCTTGTTATTTACCTGACTGCCAGGAGCTCTGCATTGCTGGGGAAAATAGGCAGAAGTTCAGTGAAATTCCCCAGGGAACAACCGGGCCAAGGACTACTGGGAGTAGTTTTTAATGTTGTTCCAAGCATATTGGAGGCTCGGACAACTGTTGTACCGAAAGATATTATATTCTGTCGGGCTTCTCCGACTACACGCAAACACATGAGAAATGAGCAATGAGAAATGAGAGGTATGGTGAGATATTAATAATTTTTTCAGTCCTTTCTATTAGGGGTGGGAATCGCTTGGCACCTCACGATTCGATTCCAATTCATAGGTCAACGATTCGATTCTAAACCGATTATCGATTCTAAACTGATAAACTGTTTATCGATGCATCTCGATTTTCTAAATTTTCTCAAATCTGAGTTGGCTACTCAGAGGTTGCTAATCACTTCCTACTTTATTTGATAATTAAAGAAAATCAACAGATGAATTACCTTCTCTAATTTTTTATAAGAGAAAAAAAAATCTTTGTCACAAATATGATTTTCTATCAACAATGCAAGAACCAACCCAGCTTGCATTTCAACACAATATGGAAGTAGCCTATGTAAAAAAAATATCAACAGATTCATTTTTCTTTTAAATGAAGAAAAGGCTGCTCTTAGTCTCAGACCGCTCCGTATTTGTAAAATACCAAAAAATCTGTGAATATCTTGCCAACTTTCAATACGGATCGACTTTTTCGGAAAATGGAAATAATGAGGTAAGATATGCGATGGCTCCTCCATAGTTCAGTAAAGTTATTAGATATTCAGATTCAGACTGACGGACCGGTCTGCGAGCTGGGTGCATTGCTCTTAATGTGCCGGTAATGATGGTAAATGATGGTTGTAGCTGGTTGTCATCTACGGTCCACTACGATTACCAAAGGGGGGCGTTTGTTTTTTGACAACGTTTTATCTCATAATTTCGACTTTCTATCCCGTTACATTAGTGCGGAAATGGGCTTCTATAGTTGTGTGAATGCATCACTCCAGCCAATCCAAAGACGGGGTTTGTAACCAATCAGATGTAGATAGCTTGGTGACTGGCTCCGCCCCCTTACTGTCAAAAAGAAAAACAGCGAGCGCGTAGAAAACACCTTCGAGCGCGAGCAGAGACTGACCTCGCGAGCGAGGAAGTTCACGCAAATATCTTGCGCGAGACAGAGTTTTTTTTCTTAATCGAGACCGAAACGTTCTAGAGAGAATCGAGAGAAATCGAAAAATTGACCCCACCCACTACTTTTTTGGTCATTTGTATAGTGATCTGCCAACCTGACTACGAACCACTAATGACACACTGTGAATGAATCTCAGTTGGGTACGCACACGCAGTGCTGGAACACTCGATAGTCACCCTCTCTCTCTCTCTCACACACACACACACGCACGCACACACACGCAAAGCTCCGTTCCCTAGTTGTCGGGGAATGGACCTTTGCAGACAGGCTGATCATCAGAGGGAAGTAACTCATTCTTCTCACAAATGCACACTCACTGACGCATTAACACGATCATAAATGCTCGGAACTGAGTGTACTCAATACTTCAAACACCAATTCATGTTTATGCACACACAAACACACACAAACACACACACACACACACACAACTATACAGCGAGAGTGTTATTTGCCAGAGGAAGAATTAGCAGAGGGTATATGCCCCGGATAATGACCGATTTGAAAGAATTACCGACTAAAGCAAAGAAGAAAGGGGAGATAGGAAAAGGTGTCATAGAATAGGAGGAGGAATCAAGGAAAGTTTGCAGTGAAGAGGTGGAGTAAAGGGCCAAAGCTTCATCATCATCTCCCCAGGGTGCAGGCTGCGGTGGCTTGATTACGCATTCAGCTCTCTCTCAAAAACCACATACGGCTCAGAAAATCCAGCCCTGTCAGCCTACTTCAGCACACAGCCCGACCTTAGACCGTGTGTGCTTCTGTGTGTGTGTGTTTCACACTTTCAGACGGTCAGCAATAAAATCATTAATTAATGAAAATGTGTATTGTGCGACATTAAAGTTTAAATAATGGTTGAGTTAATTGGTCTGACTAATGATGACCGTGGTGTTCAATTATTATACTTATACATGACTTTAAAAAAGGTAATAGCTTTTATAAGTAGTCGGTTAATGAGCAGTTAACGCGGTGAGCGTGCGCGTGTGTGTGTATCCTACTGGTTGTGATATGTCAAACCGGGAACACTTCTCTTTGAAATGATATCAAATCCTGATAGAGAAAAATGGATCATTCTTTCCTCCTGTTATCCTGTTTTTTATTGACTTTTCCGACTAAAAACTCTACGAACAACGGCAGCAAGCACACAGTTAAAGGATTAGCTCATCAAAACCAGCTCATTAATTCTCTTTCCAAGAGTTCGATAAGGACCTCAACCTGACATCTGTCTGTAAATATGGAGCCACCGACTGCTTTAGTAAGTATAAAGACATGAAAACAAGGGGAACGCCTCAGCTCTACGTGAAGGTTGAAAAATCTGCCTACCTGCACTTCTAGAGCTTGCTAATTAACACCGTATATATCTTCTCTGTCGAATACTCAAAGTCCAGTTTTAGGAGGATTTATTTACCTTCACAGAGGGCAGGTTAGTCATTTCAGTCTCCGGCTAATCTTACCGGCTGCTGTCTGTAAGTTCATGTTGAAGGGACAGGTATTCGAGTTATATCACCCACTAATTTAATACGTGGCAATTAAATAAAGTAGTTCTTTAAGTTGTGTCTTCATGCTTTCATCGAAGGAGCCTCATTGTCTTTAGACCGATGTCTCTCTTGTACTTGTTTTGTGTGTCCATGTATGTTTTGGGCGCTTTTGTTTCACACACCCATAAAAGTACATCATTTTTATTTTTCATATGTGTCCGTGTTTTGCTTGTGATTATTTACAACTGGACCACCTGATTGGTTGTAACCACTAACATACAGCCGTCACCTCGCCACAGACTTGTACCGCAAAGAGGAGAACATCACAGTAACGGCAGTGGGCGGGGCCATCCACAGCCCGCGCTTCCCCAACGCCTACCCCCGCAATTTGCTGTTGTCATGGAAACTGAAATCACCACCGGGGAGCCGTATACACCTGGAGTTTGACGGACACTTTGGCCTGGAGGAGTCCGATAATGGAGTGTGCAGGTAAAACGTCCGAGATTCAGGAGGATGAAAATCGACGGAAGTTCAGAGGAGAATAATGAGCGCAGAGTAGGAAGAGACGGAAGGACGGAAGGAAGGAGGGACAATGCCGAGACGGAGAAAGTATTGAGGAATTACAAATGAATGTAAAGAAGAAAAGTCAAATGACAGTTTGATTAACGAACCCGGGTGTGAGGGAACAAATGATGGATAGCACCGTGTGCAGTGCCAGAGAGGACACTGAAAGCTAATGAAGTCTCAAGCTGAAAGGACATAAAACCTTTAGAATATCTTAATTTGGTGTTTTGATGTATGCACCCATTGGACACAAACAATAAGCTTTGATTGAAAGGGTGTGTAAAGGACTTAAGAAGGCTAGAAGCTCGATAGCGGATGTTTGTCCTTGGGTTCAAGCAAGAAAATAGACGTTTTAATCCCAATACGCAACTCGGCCGCCTTTTAAAAAGCACTTAAAAAGACAATGGGGAGCAGCAGAGTGAGGAGGGAAAGAAAAATAAAGTAGGTTTTTCCATGCGGGTTTGTCACATGTGCTCAATGTGTGCATTCAAGTGTGTGTGTGATAGATAGGTTGACTAATTGACTGGAAAGTCATCTGATCACTAGAAATGACTGAAGTGAAGCGAGTCTCAGAACTAGCTAAATGACATCAAGGAAACTTAATCCATCAAACATTTTTCATGTATTTCTAGTGCAGGCCATACTTTGTACGGTCATCTGACAACATTTCTGGAAACAGGTGTATCAGCTTTCTCCACGCTTATATCTGTACAATATGAAGCTACAACCGGATCCAGCAGCATTAAAACAGCATTAAAAAAGAGCCGACCTGGGCCCATCCAAAAGTAACCAAACCCTCCTGTCAGCTCCTCTGAAGCTCACCGGTAAACAGGTCACATCTTTTCCATTCCATTTTTAGCTGTTAGCTTTTAATGTCACATTATTTCCCAACGTTAGTAATCACAGTTGTTGTCATATTCTTTCCATCAAAACGGATGGAATGTATGATTTATCAGATCCAATTGCATCAGCTTCCTGCCTACTCTTTATGTTTTTTCTTAGATTTGTGATGACACACGCATCAATTCATTTTTGTTTTTCAGCTGCAGAGTCAGACATTTCCTAAATCCTTGACAGCAGTTTTCGTCCTTCATCTTTCCCTCTTCCCTCCCACGCATCCCTCCGCCTCTCCACCTCCATGTCTCCTGCTCCAGGTACGACTTTGTTGAAGTGGAGGACCGATCGGAGACCAGCACTATCATTTGGGGTCGCTGGTGTGGGCTGAAGGCGCCGCCCAGTCTCAACTCCAAAAACAACAGGCTCAGGGTCACCTTCAAGTCCGACGATTATTTTGTCGCCAAGCCGGGATTCAAAGTCTACTACTCCCTGGTGGTGAGACGTGCACTTTCACTAAGACTGTTAGACTGAAACACACACACACACACACACACACACAGCTGATGGCGATGAATCATGAGCTGTTATGGGGGGACAAAGCCGAGCGTTTGGATTGTTTTCTTTGTCATATCGGGTTCGGTAGCACTGCAATGCTCCAGGTGAAATGCAAAATAAGACGGAGGGTAGGTACGAAGAGATGCGAAGATGGGAGAGGGAGGATCTGGTGACATTGCTGGTCAAATGCCAAAATGTATTAGCCAACGACTCTTTTATCACACGTCCTCTCAACAGTTGAGGAGGGGTTGAGCGAGAGAAAGCGGGAGGGAGGTGTGAGGATGAGAAAGTGTCCTCTTAAAGGCTGTCAAACGTATGGATGAGGAGATTAGCTTTGTCAATCATGCAGAGGAAAAGAAGAAAGAGAGAGACTCCCGATTTGAAGACGTTCTCCCGCCCTCTAATCAGAAGGGAAAGGGGAACAGCTGGTGTGACGTTCCCTGGTTGTCTCCTTCACGAGTTCAGAGAAGAGAGGCAGAGGGAGAGAGAGAGAGAGACCCTATTTGCAGTCCACCTCTCCCTTTTATTTAGTCATTTTGACATTATAGAGGCTGTGAAAACAGTTTCCATGGTTCTCATCACTATGCTTAATCAACACATCCCCAGCTAAAGCTATTTTTATCACCCAAAAACCGTTGAAGGTTGAGACTGTCATCATTGAATGTGTTTCTTATTGACAACAAATCCCATGAAAAGATCGAGACCAATTAATACTCCTTTTCTTTTTAAGTGTCCAATGTCATTTCCTGAAACAGCGGGACACTACAGTTTTTGGAACATTCCATTTAAACGCGTGTAAGTAGGGCATTTGTTGGAGACAGTTTTTAGGTTTGTTGGTTATTATTAATGAGAAGCGTGGCAAAAAATATGTATCTTTCACTCTCAGACTTTTTTGACCATGCAGGGTAACTTGCAGGGCGTATTGAGCACAGTAAACATAAACTACATAGCAAATAGGGTAAGAAAAATTAAATTAAGTAAATTAAAAAAAATCAAACTATATTAATAATATTTATGATAATTCCCCCCAAAAAACAAGAATACATAAATAGAAATAACAAAAATAGTTCGGTGCAGAGAAGTAAAACACTAAGAGATACTACAGTGAAACTTTTTTGGCTGAAAACTAAATAAATCTTTTTTTTGAGACTATATGTAATCTTTTCAAGAGGGATGCAACTGTTCATTTCCACACATTACTTGCCGATGACATTGATATACATTTCCCGGCCGCACACCAAGCAATTCCTGCACATTTAGTTTGGGACTTTGATAAAGACCTTTTGAAACTCTCTCTCAGACTTTGATTGCTTCCCCCCTCGTCTCCCCTCCCTCCTCAGCCATTGTTATTCCTCGCTCCCCATTTTGCAAATATTTTGAGTGTGTTTATATCTTTCCATCTTTCACCCACTCAAAGCCTTTCCTTCAGCCAGGCTGGAGCTGCGTGTGGCTTAATTTAGCAGGTCTAATTTGTTCTCTCAAGACCCGTCGAACAGATAAGAGGGAGGAAGATAGGAGGCAGCGAGAGAAGAGCGGGAAGACGGAGGCAGGGAGAGAATGAGAAAGGAGGGAACAGGTGTCTGAGATGGTATCGACGTGTCAGCTAATGGCTAAAACAACCTGAGCAGAGAGGAAGGCAGAGGGAAAGAGCGGCATTCGTACTGAGGTACTGAGTAGACCGAGTAGAGTAGTACTGATAGTTTACCACTAAACACCTGCTATGTTTCAGAACTGTACAGCTCTCGTTCATCTAATATTCCTTTTGTGTGTGTCACCGCCATTACCTTATAATAATAATACCTATAATATTGTGTTTTTTGAGGCGAAGCAAACACCCAGTGTGAACCGGGACGTGCAGGGGAGATGACATGTGTGCGCACGCAGCGGCTCTCTGTGGCCTTCGGTGGCTGCTCGCTAATTACAGGAGAAATGTGCCACTTCAGTGTGCCGGCGTTCTCGGTCTTTAGGCTTCACCGCTTAATGTGTCTCGGATGGTTATTTCGATCTCCCCCAAATAGCACAGCGAGAGCACGAGACCCCGCGGTGACGTTTATCCGGCACCCGATTGGACGCACAGGTGTAAGCAGCGGCCGTGCAGGTCGCCCGCGCGTGTGGTCCGCTCAGCGGTTGCAGTGGGCAGCTGCTGTTGTTGTCCTAAATACTGAAGTGCTGCGTCATTTTGAGCCGTTACCAAACTGCGCGTGGAGTGTTCACACAATTGGCTGTGCAGCAGTGAGTCTACATGTAGCCTGGACAGATAGCGAATAAAGACAAACATATGACGTGTATTTAAGCGTTTCTCATGTGCGCTTAATATGAGACATCTTAAAATGACACGTGTAAACGTCAGAGCAGGTCTCATTTACCTTGAGTAACGTAATCATGGTGTTCAGAGTGAACGGCAGCACACCTGAGATTATACACGACTTCAGGACCGCATAGATTTTTCTTTGTGTTTGTTTCTGATATCGATTTCACTGTCTGAGATCTTACGAGTGACAGTAATGTATTTTAGACGGATATTCCTGAGAAAAGCTGCTAAGCCAGGTGCAGCGGAAAAAGACTATTGATCAGGAAATATTAGTCATGTATTATGTGTGCTGATATCACACTGAACATGTGTGTCTGAGATAATGCTTAATAATAAACAGCACCAATAAAACACTATCTAAATTAATCTGTCATCATTAGTGCATTTCAGATGCTCTCGGTGGCACTAACTGATTTTAGTAGCCCCTAATTTTGAAGTCCTCGTAAGTAGCCAGCTGTGGGTGTGCAGTTACTGCAGCTGGAATTACCGTGAAGACATGGATTTACACTAATTTAATGACCCTGATATACAAACATAAACGTACTGCAGATTAAGACGAGAAGCAGCACAGTAAACCACATGAAAAGGAGCATTTTCCTGGCTTCACCCTGGAAATTAGCTTAGACTCGGACCGAGATCAGGCGGCATGGACGTGGCCGGTGTGATTTATCCACTGAGTCCAATGTCCTCCGGCTGTAAGCGAGATAACCGGTCATGCGGAGTGAAAGTCGATAGGGAAAATCTCTCGCCGTCATCCCCGTCTACCACACACACTTAATCCTCACACATTCTAGATGTCCAACTGTACAAAATGGAGGTTGAAAGGGGTTGCTCCCTGGTGTCCTCTCCACTGTCAATAAGAGTGTTTTCCCACACCACCAGTGAAACACTTTTAGCGTCTATAACCAGCATCGATTCATGAATTCTTCTCAAAAAACAATTTACCCACAAAATGAGTGTCTTAAAGCAGCTTGACAAACACCTGGTACATTTCTGCCTTTTTATAAACAAAACCATTCACTCTCTCTGTGGAATTAGTGTTAATTTAGGTCATTGTAGAAGTGATCAGACTCCGAAACAGCTGACTTTAGCACCCATTCAAAAGCTACTATTAAACACATCTGCTGACTATCACCCATCAAGGAAGTGTTCTGTACAAACCACATCATGATTATGCAAGAACTATTTGGTACCCCGAACAATGTTACAGTTTCCCACTTATCTCTTTTTGATGCCATGGAAGACAAATAAGGTGCAGCAGGACTTTCATTCTCCAATTAAAAAATCAATACATAAATGCAGCACCATTCGGCCAACATGAAACACTTTTCGATTGTTATAATTCAGTGTGAATATCAGAACTGAAAAGAAGCAAGTTAGCGTGTGCATTCATCCAAGTGACGAGCTTTAACGTCAACTCCTGCATTACCAGACACGCGGTCGACAACGGGAGGGCAAAGTGTCTTTGCAGTGTGGTTGAGGCAGATTTATTGTTCCATATTGACTGGAGAAGGAGAGGGAGTTCACTGCCAGTAAGATCCTACGTGTGTGTGTGTGTGTGTGTATGTGTGTGTATACTTGCGTGCATTTGTGAAAGAGAGAGAGAGAGAAGAATGTTTGCACGTGTGCCAATTATGTCATTCTGATGAGTGTTTACCACCTGAACGTGCTTTGACCGGGATCTCAGAAAGGCATGCTGTGACCAGCTCTCTGAAAAGCCTTTTGGGATTTTCCCGACACATTGACAGGCCAACAGTTAGACAGGCAGCCACCTGAATATCTTGGATAACATAATATAACATGCCAAGCTCCACTCTGCCTCCAACAAGCAAAACTGTTCAGTAAGTTGCGAGTGGTAGATGTAATCCATTCGCCTTCAGCTGCTTACACATGGTTCCATTGCCGCTGCCTAATCATCATCCGGAACCGTGAGCGACTGCCGAAATAACTATTTGGATCTCGTTTGAGAAATTGAGAGACTCGTTGACACAAGACCATGATCTTTGGGATCTTTGAGTTAGGGGAACAATTTGCAGTGTTATTTCACCCGAGGGCCTCAATCAGTCGGAATCCATCTGCTTTTGCCACTAAATACTGAACCAACTTCATAGAAACGGAAGAAAAAAAAATGTATTCATTTGAATTTCTTTTCTTTTCCTTTTCTTTCGGTGGATCTCGTCCACATTTGACCAACCGATGATTTCCGCTGTCCATCCCTGCAGTACGACTCCCCCCTGCCTGCTTCCAACACAAACTGGGAGGTCGCCACGGCGCTCATGTTGGTGAGTCATGCGCACACATAAACACTCTATGACTTGCTTAAAACAGGCATAGACTTAGACTTCACTTATAATAAGAGATTTTATTTGGCGGAAACAGAGCTCACACATCAGACATTAAATGGAGTGAATACATCGAGTAGTTTAATAGGACATCGTTAAAAGAAATGTCGAAATAGGAAGAGGTCATTACTGGGATAATGAAGTGCTGTATTTTGACTTTCATGTAGATACTGTTTAAAGCACAGATCATTTAGTAGTTGAACACATAAAACGGTCCTGCCCTTCTAACCTTGCCCCCCCCCACACATTTGTCTTCTCGTGCACATCATGGAATAATGGATACACTAATAAGTGCAACATATGGCCTGGTTCCATAGGCACTCACACCCATACACAGAACGAAAGCATCTATTTGCATACTGCATTTATTACGCATGTTGCCGAAGATGTAAAATGACAGGAATCCATGGACTGTTTAAACATTCATCAGTATCATTTGTGTGTGAGGTTCAATGACACGTATGAACATAATTAGTGTGCGTTGGGCTGCGTGGTAGTTTTTCTACTTGGATTGACAGTTAAAGTGATGTGGGTGTTATCCTTTATTTCCTATGTTTGGATCATATGTGTCACTGCAGATGGGATGTGCACTGTGACGCTTGGTGACCGCTTCAACATCATTTTTCACTGAATGATGACAACTACTTACTGTGTGAAAGCCCTGGACGAAACAGAAAACACTTTAAACAATTGAAAATGAATTGTGAAAGTAAAAACAAATTGCATCAGATGACCATAGCTTTTTTCTTTTAAGAGCTTTGGTTTAACATAAACCAGAATCACATTTATATGGCATCCTGTGATCCTAAAGGACCATTTGCAAGTTACACTGAAGTTCCTCCATTCAAGGTCTTACAATACAACTTCCACAAAAGTTAAGTTAAGCTTTAATTACCCTCCATATTCTTTAAATTGTAAAGTAGTTAAAGTAAAGCTATTTCTTGCAAGCATGCAAAGCATGTTTGAGCTTCAGTCTAACTTAATCTTCCGCCTACGTTTGCTTAACATAAAACTTATGTTAAGCAATGTGGCTCGTTTCTATCCAAGTGTGCTATTCTACACAGGACAGGCAGGTTTCTTTACTGACAAACCAAACCAGCCCACGGTACTCTAATGTTTATGTTCAATGCTGTAGGAATATTAGTATTCACAGCAAATGCACCATTTCCAAGTGTTTTCATCACACTCACAATACAAATAGACCCATTACTGTCATAGAAATGCATTTCAGATTTTTTGGCAAAACAACTGCAATGTGGAGGAAGACACTGATGGACCGGAACAAGACACCTCCTTGAAAAATCTATTTCCATGTCACGGAAAGCTCAGTCCGACACGTGTAAGAGGGATCTCCTTAGTGGCCAAAAGTGACGGGTCGGTACCTCCATATCTTCCAATGATATGGATTGGGTGTCCTTAGTTGCAGAAGAAGAACCATCCCATTTAAAACAATAATAAGAATGTCAGCATCGCCACCGAATTCCTTAACACACAATGGAAAACATCAAAGAGACGTTTGCCCTCTCCAGTTACCCCTTCAAACTAACACAATTCCTAATTGGCTCTTTGCAGGACAGTAGTGCAGTGCAGAAGCCGGCGGCGGTCACGGAGGCTCCTTTCACACTGGAGGATTTGGACCGGACCATAGCTGCCTTCGACACCGTCGAACAGCTTCTCAGATCCCTCAGCCCAGAAACCTGGAGACAGGACCTGGACAGCATCTATACTCAAACACACATCCATTATAAATCCCGGGCCTATCAACTGGCAAGCAGGCATAATAAAGGTATGCTATACTATAATATATAATATATATAAAATTATATATTGTATATAATCTCCGTGTTCTATAAGCCATACACGAAACTGGCCAACATGCATCATCTTCAACAAAAAAAAAACATGTCTATGTATCTGGTTTTAATAGAACAACAATACATTTAATTTGGCTCCGATGTCACAGCTGAGGGGGGAATGTGTTGAAACATTACAATAACTACAATACAGAACTGTTCTGTAGGACTATGAGCAGATATGATGCAGGGAAGAGACAGTATTTGCCCTTTGTTGGATGCTTCAAACATTAATAAACAAGAGAAATAAAATGGAGGGAAGGAAGTAAAGTGGTCACAAATGAACAAAGTATAATCAGCAAGAAATATATATATAATAAAGTCCAAATTATTAGGCTCCTATGGAGAATGTACCGATCCATAGGAGAAATGGCACGAGAACTAAAACAATGAGCGTGTACAAAGGCCAAAAAGAGTAGAGCTGCAGAGGACGTGCTCCCGCTCGTGAATGTCTTTTTGAGTACGCAAAGATGGAAAGAAAATGCCAAGTGGGGATTTAAAGAATTGTAGTGAAGATCCCTAAATCTCCAGATATATTCATAACATATAAGGCATAATTACAGAGAGAAAAAGGTAATGACAGCTATGAAAAAACCTTTTGGGGTTTTCATTGATTATTTGAATCAAGCTTTTGTACAGTGTTGCTGTACGGATAGAAGAGGCCTTTAAGAGAAACATTATCACGTATTAAACTCTGCTTTTGGCTCACGGCTCTACTTCTGCCGTGTTAAGTCACCGTTGTAAAGTTAATGCAGGAAGATGAGAATGGTGATGTTCACCGCTCATTTTATGGTGCTGCAGATGGTGATGCTCAGCACTCTGCTGCGTTCACAGAGTTCCTCTGCAGGCTGGTGCAGGGGTTCTTAGCAGGGGAGTGGGAAGCTGACCAGAACGACCCCCCCACCTCAGCACAGAAAGACCCCCACCTCCGCACACACCTCTCGCATAATGCGCCACAAGATTGACTGTCTGCAGCTCGGTCATTTAAGGAAATTGTTAGTGAGGGACATTGCTGACGTGTAATGACATACAACACGGGGGACAGCCAATGAAAAAGTGTTGTGCAAAGTCGTGCCAATTTGGTGGGTGAGTGCATCTCTCGTAAGCCACCTAACATTGGTTTGTAAGAAGGTAAAATCGGTTCATGTTACTTTCCTTTGCTGATAAGGAAAATAAATAGGATTAAAAAAGCTTTCTGATCAGTTTTGTGTGTGAAAGTGGTTTTGGTACTTGAAAGAGAATCGCACAAGTTTTGTGGAAACGTAACACATAATCGCATTAAGATGCATCAACACAGTGTAGCCTGAATAAGCTGTTGCATCATTCAAGGAGCACTATGTCCGAGTCGATCAATTCTTTACCTTCAGCGCCAGAGACTCTGGATTTTGTCCACAAAACGCACAAACAGATGACTCGCCACGTTTATTACACACATGTCACGCAACCACAGGGGCTTGTGTGTGCCCGGAGTACACGAGCATTCGAGCTTGCAAAAAGCCCAGAGTGCGTTGGACCCCGGCTCACTCACCTGTTCCTCGGTATCTCTCTCCTGCACATTCTCCATCTCTTTACCAAACGGCTCGCTGCCTCCTTAGTAAACAGCCGTGCTTGACGGCAAATCTATCCCTATTTGTCAGTGCATGTGTGTGTGGGCTGGCATGAGCGGGCTCCTTATATGGGGAGGTTTGTGTGTGTTGCAGCAATACAGAAAGGTGCTTAGGTGCTGCAGGTCTTTGATACACTGTACATGCGTAGCTCTCTCTAATTGGAAATTCAACCAGTGCAGCAGAGCAGAAATCTGCCGCAGTCAGCAGCTTAGCTTTGTTTTCATTATTAAGACACACACACACAGTGAGACGCTCACACCCACCTTTGTTCCCTTGAAGGACAGTAAGTCAAAATAAAATATTAATTGGGAAACTTTCAAGTTCCTAACATAAATAAGTTCACAAAAACATTAGAATACAAAGCCCTGACTAGGGCGAAATATATGCAATCATTTCCCCAAACGCGCTCTGATACAACGCATTTTCATGTTGGTGGCTCTGTGATTGACAGTCATTCCCAAAGTTTCGCTTGCTCTCAGTCTCTTCCGTCTCAGTCCCCCTGACAGGGTTCCACGCCAATGCTTCTCTGAGATTACACTCATTCCCTTCAAAGAGACACCAGCTCGACCCTGCGAGCACGTACGCGACACACACTCCCGTGCAACCCTCGCCGTCATCTTCAACCGCGCGGCATAACACCTGCATCACCTTGTGTAACAGACATTATAAGTGTTGGAGGCCGGTCACGACTCTCGATATCCTCCCTGGTCAAGTCAATAACTGTGAAACCATTACGTCGGCTCCAACATGCTGCAGCAGATATTTCAACAGGAGAGTTTCATTGTGATCAGAATAGAATGACAGATGGTCATTCATTTAGTTTCTTGCATACATTTCCGTCAAACCGATCATTATTTCCCCACTTATCCAAAAATACACACCGATAAATCATCCTGGTTTAGTTTTGAACGTGACACTGACTCTTTGAATCAATTGTCCTCATAAAACCTCTTAATGCTCACACACACGCAGACATAATCCCATTTTAATGTAGTCATCTGCATGTGCACACAGCAACTGTCGCTAGAACAAAACGGAGGGACTTCAGAGGAGTGTGCAAACACTTCCAACGCAAAAGCCTGGACATATGCACAGTAGCCTGCTTATGTGCATTTCCTTGCTATATGACTATTGTATCAACCCTTTTTTCATTTCTATGCAAATGAAACGTCTTTACCACAAAATCTTACCACGAAGGTGGAACCACAATTAATGTTGTCAATATACTGAATAGTGCACCTTCTATTCATTCTCTCTATGAATTGCCAAAGCAAATAATTACGCCGTTGCTCCCACTTGATTGTTTTTTTATTGAGCATCCAAGATGTTTTGTGTCTGAATTGACATCCCCACAGAAACAAATCTCCTTTTGAGTGCAATTGCTTATTGATTATCAATGCCATTAGGGTGGCATGGAGCCGCAAACACCGCTGCGCTATCTGGGATGCATTAGCACATCAAGCTAATTACTAACTTCAATTTCAAAGCGGTTTATCTGGTATAACTGACCTCTGACCTCATATCTGCAGCATCGCTCAAACACAAGCTAATACAAGCCGATCGGACAAAGGAGTCCCGTAGCTTAGCTTAGTTTAGCTTTAGCATTGAGACTAAAAGCACATTGCACTTCGCTGGAAGAATCAATGGTCAAAAACTTCTTCTCTGCTAATTAAGTTGCGTAAAGAATTAAAAAAATGAAAGAATATTAATTTAAAAATTAATGATTCATTTCCATTTTGCATGTCTTTGTAAAAACCTCAAAACCCTTCTTTTTTTCTTTCAGTCCGATAAGTGTAAACGTTTTCCACAATACTTGTTGACTAACGCCAGCGTAGATACACTAAATCTGATAGCTTCTGAATGAAGGAAGGCGCCATGATTGCAGAAAACTGGTGAAGCTTCCACTTGTGCAGTATGCAGATGACATTACAGCCTCTCGTGGTTCTGGCACTGAATTTGACCAGTATTGATCATGAATACTCTTCGTCCTCCATCACCTCCTTAAGGGGGGGCCGCTATCCACCTGGCCTTTTTTCGGTTGGACTGAAGACAGTCATATTCCACGATAAAGCAGAAAGCATCAGGGATTTCTTCTTGTCATGTTGCTTCTGCTGAGGGGTTGTTCACCCTCTCCGAAAAAGGAGCTTCTCCAGGTAGCGAAGCGACAGGCAGGATCCATGTGAACGTGGGAGTTCCTCTCTTGCTGCTCGGGGCTGTCAGTTTCGGCGCATTTTGCTCCCGTCATATTTTAATCGCCATGGCTTCGTTTTTTGTGTCCACTACCTAATGAAACACATTCAAATAGTCAGTGAAGTCCAAATCAGATGGTAATGGCTTTTCAGCTGTTTTATACAGCTTCTGGGTCTAAGGACTGTGTTAATGTTGGCAATTTAATGTTTTATGGAAATCATGCTATTACCCTTCAATGGATTTAGGATTTGTTCTAAGCATTTAATGTATTTAGTACAGTATCAAACCAGAGATAATGAATTAATAGAGATATTGAAGTTTAGACCTCTGCAAAGACGTGTGCACAGCAGTTTCTGTTGCTTGGTTAACCTCGTCGTACTTCATTCACTTGATTTATTTTGATTTCATGTCTTTTACTTTTTTATTTTCTGTCTCGTCCACCCGTCAAACCACCTGCAGAATTTGGATTCCCTGCAGAATATGAGCAGACTTGTTGAATGTAGTACTTTGAACAGATTTATGTGAAAGGGAGCTGCATTCGGTGAGCAGTTAGAGGAATAAAATAATGTAACCAGATTACCTACCCATTGAGTAAGAAAAGGTTCTACTAGGATTCAAATGGTAAATAAAAATCCGACGAAGCAGGTTGGTTCAGACAGCGTGAGGCTCATTAATGAGCCAATTGATGCTTGGATTTCTTTTCAAAAGGTTAATTAAATTGTATCAGAAAATATTATTAGGTAACTCTACCAACCCTGAATAAGAGCAATATAAAGTGTTGCATCCTTGGTCACCTTCACTCTCTCATTTAAAGGTCCCTTGTGCTAGAAAATGCAAAGAAATGTTTAAGACGATTGCTCGGGCTCCTTCCTTTACTCAAAATAAATGCTCAGCTGCTGCACTCCTTGTGCTGATCAGGCTTATTGTTATGGAGCTCCTGGTTCTGTACCTTTAATACATTCCTTTACTCCCCATCAGCTTGTCCTTTAACGTCATTGGTTATCGTGAAAATGCAGGATATGAACAAAGATAAAAAAAACTGCTTTTGCCCCATTCCCGCCGTCCAAAACCACCAGAGATAAGAGGACACATACATGAAACAAATACATAACCAGTGTTATCTTTTCCTCACTCACTTGCCAGTTGATCTGAACCGTCTCCACGAAGACGTCAAGCGGTACAGCTGTACGCCTCGCAACTACTCCGTGAACCTGCGCGAGGAGCTGAAGGCCACCAACGCCGTCTTCTTCCCCCGGTGTCTGCTCGTCAAACAATGTGGAGGCAACTGCGGCTGCGGGACCGACAACTGGAAAACCGGCTGCACCTGCGAGGCCTCCAAGAAGACACTCAAACTACACGAGGTACGTCGTGCACAACGGGGACGGACCTGAGACAACACACCTGTGTTGTGATCTTTGCTAATTCCTATTTGCCGACAGGCTGCGTGTAAATCGTTTGTAGACATTCATACCGTTCGGATTAATCACAAAAAGGAACTCGGTATATTCTGTTTTTCCACTCATTTTATTTTCCCGGGTCCAAGAGTGATGAATAAAATGGCAAATGCTATTGCTATTAAGACGCTGAGCCAAAAGATGTGGCTCTAATGCTCTGCCTGTAGCCCTGCGCATAGTGTGACAGCATTCAATTTAGACTTGGGTTTATTCACACATTAGTCTGAAATGTCAAGTTTCCAGGACATTTTAGGTGATGGGCTGAAAGGGGCTAAAAGAAATGGTGTGTGAGTAAGTGAGCGAGTGAGTGAGTGAGTGAGCGAGCGAGAAGGAGGGAGATATTGGGCGTGCAGAGGCGAGCGCTGCATCGACAATGAAGCAGCGATGCACCATCACCACCTCGATTTCTCCTCCATTCGCTTGTGTGTCTGCCTTCATCCGTCTCCCTCTAATCTCTCCGTATCTGTCTCGCTGCATTGTTAGCACTCTATCACCCCCCGTGTCTCTCTGGGCTTCCGTCATCCTTTCATTCTCCCCAATTCCCATTTTCAATTTATCCCGTTGCAATGCACCATTTTTGTTCTTTAAGCCTGTCATTTATTCTTTTCTCTGTCTTCCCTCCATCTCTTTGTGTCTTTGTTCTTGTGTAGCTTCATTATTGAAACACGGTCCGTGGGGCTCTGTCTCTCTCCCTCTCGCTGTTAAAACATACAATAGAGATTTTGACAAAAGTAGGATTTGGGTTGCAATTATGTGTGAGCATGAAAAAGGCGTGTTTGTGTCTTACAGTATATAGTTTTTGTGAGATGTTTTCATCCTCCTCTCTTCTCCTTTAAGCCTCCATCTGACTTAACTTCTAAAAAAGAAAAAACACACATTATTACTCACACTATTGTTTCAGTGCCTTAAAGCCCCTGATATAAATCACGGGCTGCCAGTCTTTTTTTTTAGAACAATTTGTACCTCCACTCCTTTTTCAAATAGTGCATATTACCTGTGAAACAATGTAACCAACTGCAGCAAAGTCAGTTACAGTGAAACACTTTCATACTATAAAATGATTGCTGCTTTAGAGACGTTCAAGGGCCTTTCAACCCATTTTCTTTTACCATGTGAATAATTGCCTAACGTTAGCTTAAAACCACTTAGCATACTGTAAATGCATGTGTACACAAGCACACCGTACTGACGTAGTGTACGTCTAAGATATTATATAGTGCTTTTGTTTTGCACAGTCAGCATTGAATGAATTGGGAGCATACCGCTGATTACCACTGATTTCAATTGCAGCGAAGACTTCAGCTCCAAGTTACCATGAAATCCAATAAGAGTGAATGAATGTTGAATCATTATGATTAACGAGATACGTGTTGTCTCGTGGCCTCCCAGAGTTTCACACCACACCGCACCATCGCATTCTGAGGAACTTTGCGTTCTGTCTAATCTATAATTACATCAGCCTGTTTATTTTCCTCACACGTCTGCTTGTGTTTGTTCGATTGGATTTATAGGGAGAAATCAGCTACAATGAGTTGACAAAGTAGTTTCAACGCCTCCCAACCACCTCTCTGCTTGTTGTGTGACTCCTTTAGGTGCTGAAGTACACCCCAGATGTCAGTCCGTATCAGCGCCATCGGAGGTCGCGGGTACGCTGGGTCATAGACGAGATCTTCCTCACACACCATGAAAAGTGCGAGTGTGCGTGTCCCTCCCAACCCCCTCGTTGACGCATCCAAACTGGCACATGGATCTGGAATTTTTGGACAATTTTTTTTCTTTTATGTATTTTGCAACTGACATTCTAGTCATAACTCCAGCAGCACAGACACACCCAGAAAGAGGAGAAGGCGCCAATTAGGGCGACAAATCGCTGCTTGCATTATAAACACGGCATTTGTTCTTGCAAGTAAACCTTCATCTGGACAAACTTATAAATGGCTACATGTTCGCTGTTTCAATCCATTTCATTCCTCCAACAAACAAAATGTAAATACCATACGACACATTGAAATAATTATAGCAATTTTATATCAAACTTGCATTTACTTTTGGATTTATGACGTAACTTGATTGAATTCAACCCCTGTAATACGTTTTTCTCCTGTTCTTACATCCCTCTTTATTGTAAAAAGGGTGTTTGTAGATACTTACGGCACTTGTTGTGCCAGGAGCATGCGGAGATGCGTGAGTGTGAGACAGAAGGAGGGAGGGACAAAGTGTCAACTAAATTAACACTTTTTTTGTTGTGAAATGAAATCAACCATAATCCTACAGATCTGAATTGAGCACCAGCACATTATAATATATTTCCTGTCGGCCATCTCAAACACTTCCTGCTCATTTCTTTCCCGTCATCGCTCTCTCAGCACATTCTCGGAGATGTCACATCGGGCAGCTGCTCTCGGCCCACTTTTCTGAACATTCCCGGCATTCCAACTGCCAAATGGAATTCTGCTAACATGAATAAAAAAAAGATATTCAGACCTTAATCACATTCTGTAAGAGGAGAGGTTTTTTTTAAAAGAGGCAGCTGACAGAAAAAGGGACAATCCAGCAGCCGATGCGTAGATTGCCAGCACTTCTGGATGAAAGATGAGATGGCAGCCACTTTGAAGATAGAAAATAAACGGATTGAAGCTACTTCAGCGTTTCCAATAAGCATCTTCATACATTCAGCCCGTCGGATTTTTGTTTTTGTCAAGCTGCTCTTTCCCTTCTCACGAAGACGCTCAAACGTATCACAATCTGACCCATGAGACCGCTGTGGTACCACGGTGGGAACAGAGTTCTAGGCTTTAAGCTAAGTGTGTGTGTGTGTGTGTGTGTGTGTGTGTGTGTGTGTGTGTGTGTGTGTGCGTGCGTGTGTGTGTGTGTGTGTGTGTGTGCGTGCCAGCAACCGCTCAGGAAGAGGTCCTTTTGTTGGAGGGGCGGCGGGTTACCAAGAGTCTGTGAGAGCTGGCAGCAGATACTGCAGCCCGTGACTGTGCGTGCGATCCCGTGTGTGGACCTCGGTAGCGAGTATCAAAGCAATAGAGAAAGTGCTGCTTATCTTTTCCAAATACGTGACCGAGCTCTGAAAAATAACATTAAATCAGTCCTGATTTAACTGGGATTGAACACACGGATATTGTTCGAAAGAATAACCGGACGCCGAGGCCATTCATTGGTTACAATGAAGCCCAACGCGCTGTGTGCCGGCGGCGCTTTAATGTCCGTGAGTAAGTCGCCGGGGTTATTTGGCAGGCGGTGGACACAAAACACTTAAGTCGATTGTCTCAGGTCGTCTGGTTTTCACATTCCAGGTATTTTAACCCGCACACACAAACGCTGCCACTCGTTTTTAGCTTCAGCTCGTCTTATCACGCAACCTCACTTTAGTTTGAAACTGCGTTTTCTTCAGTATGCTGCATTTTGTAAACTAAAACACTTTGGTCAACACAAAGCTCACTCGTGTGATTTGTTCACCTTCAACAAAGGACGGTTCGCAGCTAAATTACGCCGATTTCATTTCCGTATGCGAGTCAGATAATGTTTCATTTTACAAGATGCTTTGTTGTAAAATGTATAGTTCCTCGAGCAAGAGTTTTTAGATGCTCTGCTTCAAATACATCATGCATTTTGAATTGATATGAGGGATGGGTGCGCGTGTGTGTGTGTGTGTGTCTGTGCGTGCATCCTGCGTCTGCCAGTTTGCCGGCGTTGTCAGCACATTCCATTGTTGCTTTCTCAGAAGTGACATCCCCCTTTTTGCTCATAACTGGTCTGTTTTCTCCTGCAGCTATTTACATCAAAGTCACATGTATTTCAAGTACAGATGTTTAAGCCTGGTTGTGAAATTGTTTGGATTGTTGTTTTGGTTTATTTACATCAACTAAGAGCGTTAAAACCTGATCTTGGACACATTCCGGGTTTCCATGCTTTCATTTTGATATGATCCAAAAAACCTGCTTTGCTGTATTTTGATGAATATTCATGATGAAAATGTACGCTTTAAATAAATAATTTATTGTGTGTTTCTCTAGTGTTTCAATCTTTTTTTTTAACCACAAAAACGGCTTTGATCAGATGTTTGACCGCGCATGTTTTATATAATATGGGACAAAGAGAGTACTGTATTGGGAAATGTGTTACTGCGGATACGCCACACGGGAAAGAGAGATGAAGGAGAAAGTGGGACAGAAGAAGAAAGAGAGGTGATTTAGAGAGCAACAGATAAGTGGTACGTTAAGGACGGCTCATATGTTTCCCAATTACTCGGATTCCTCGAGTCAGCAGCAGTCCAGCCACAGGTTAAAGGTCAAGTTACCAACAATCAGGCTGAATTGTCGCTTTACTTTTCATTGATTTTTTATGCTGCACTCACATGATTCCATATGGTTGCAGAACATGTTGTTTGAGAGTTGAGACTGAAACTCGTACTATTGCACATGTACCTAAGGTCCCAGCATGCCAATATATATATATATATATATATATATATATATATATATATATATATATATATATATATATATATTAGTGTTAGGTGGGTATAATGTCGACCAAGTACAGGAGCTTAGTTTATTATTCCATTTACACCACTAACTACAAAGCACAACTGGGGTTGATGGGATTTCGGTTCTGCAGCTATTTGTTTAAACCCACCGTTGCTACAAGGCCGACTTTATGGAGCAGGCGCTCACGTCACTACGTCCACCATATTTTTAACACACACAGACACACATCGTGTAGATGTGCAGTCAACAGATGTTTGTTGATTTCTATTCATTTATAATTAGTGATGTTTGTTATTTTTCATGCTCCGTGCCGGGAGTTAAGGACATTTTAAGTGAACACGGATTGTGATACTTTATCCAGAGTTTTTGTTCTAGATCCCTGGTCGTTGTGGTTCAGTTGTATGACAACAAAACATGACAACAAAAACTGTAGTACATTCCTGTAGTGCTCTTCATTATTTGCATCATAAGGAATGTAAACAACAGCAACAGCTTGATTTGACATAAACAATGTTACAAATATATATATATATATATATATATATATATTTTATTTTTTGCGTTTTAAGATGGTCCAGTCTTAATGAGCTGTCTTTGTCAATCAAAAACAAAAATTGAGGCTCATGCCATTTAATCCGCCTGGACAAGGGTTGGATGAGTTGACTTAAGACAAACAGTCAGACGGAGAAGATGCTTTTCCCTGACGGAGAAAGATAGGAAGAGTTGGAGGAAGTATTAGAAGAAGTCCACAAAATCAGAAAAATAGTCGGAAAGAGGGTTTCAGAGAGACAGACAGACAGATGATGAGGAGGTGGTGGAGAGTTGATGAAGTCATCAAGACGTGTCGGAAAGAATGGTGAGAATGAGCCATAACTGAGACACTGTGTTGCAAGACAGCGCTGCCTAACATCACAGACACACAGACACAGACACACACACACACACACACACACACACAGAGAGAGAGCCACAAACGAATGAGGGACGCACAGTATCAGTAATTTTTTTCTCTGGCCAATGTCATAAAGAATTTGAAAAAACGGCACCACCATGATCACATTTCCTGTCATTTTATTAAGAAAATTATTTTGAATAATAATTTAATAAAAAAATGTCATAGCTTGAAGCACCAAATTACCACATAAGTGTGGAGCAGGAGAAGTGTCTGGAGTTGGTTGCAAAATACTCAAACACATACAGAGAGGAGCAATCAAACACACACACACACACACACACACACACACACACACACACACACACACACAATGTCTCTGACCTCTAGTCCCATCCTTCCTCCTTGTCCCTTGCTCCCATCTTCCACTTCTTATTTCACACTACATTATAGAGCAGCTTTCATTTAGGTATGAATATTAGATATCCCTTTTGAATAATGGAAAGAGACCTTATGTGAGGAATCTGCAGACATAAGGAGAAAATGGACAGTTGTACTGGTCGGTCTTCACTTGCACATTTAAAATAGTCCAATAAAATGACATTTTCAGATCCAAACTGTTCCATTAAATAAAAGATTAACTTTAAGTGCAAGTCGAGGAGTGAGGTGTGTGTGTCTTCCCGTGTGTTTGGGAAGCTTCTTCATTTTACGCTTCTAGGAGCAAGAAAAACTGCAAATCCCGGTGAAATACTTCATTGCTGGTTTTTTCAACTGACAATATAAAACAACCGTTTAGATGGCAAAATAACGCTGTTTTGCACATGATGAAGGATGGAGACGAGCACAGGTGAGGTTTGTAAATTTACTTTTGGTCTGATACTGTAAGAGAAAAGGGCAAAATGATTAGAGAGACACAGGAAAACAACAACAACAACAACAAAAGACCTGCAGGGACGAAGTCACTTTAATTTGAGTCATTCTGTGCCGTGTCTGCGAGGCATGCGTGTGTGTTTGTGTGAGCACTTGAACCTTATGGAGCACTTTATTTTTACAGGATATTCAAACACCTGAATTACTTGTTGCACATGCTTGAAGAGCTCGAAGACACACACACGCAATCTCATGTAACAAACAAAACCTGCATAAATAAACACATAAAACACACATGGGGCCGTGCAGACATACATGCTTACAACACACCAAACCGCGCAAGAGGACGTCATGCACAGCATGACAGAAGGGAAAAGCAGCTTCTGGGAAACAGCATCACAAAGTTCCTTCAACTAGTGGAAAATGTGCCGTCTGTGGTTTTTCTGTGTGAAGGATCATTTATTTTGTGTGACTTGTTTGTGCGTGCGCCTGTGAATGAGAAACGCGCCTGGGACAAGCAGGGGTTGGTCGGACCGAAGAAGGTGCAACAAACAGGAAGCACATGGTGGAAAGGCTACAAAGCTCACCTCAGAGCCACACACACACACACACACACACACACACACACACACACACACACACACACACAGGTTGAGTAGCTGTGGCATAGTTATGTTCGTCAACACATTACTGGAAACCGGAGCTGTCGGCTGCTTGCTGCATATCTACTTGTACTTCCCGAGAGAGGTTTTTTAAAAAGGACACTTTGCATGTAATGACAGTGTGTTGACTCACCGTCTCAACAAGTCGGAAAATAATTCTGAAGGTGCGGGTGTACTTAGTGCAACGATCTGCGCCTCCAAGTTTGGACGAGTGAGGAGTGTGAATGTCTTGGTTGTATCACAGGAATAACACATGTTAAAGAACAAAGCAATGCATGAGAGAGTATATAGAATTTAGCTGCCTAAACTTCTACAAAATGCAAAAGCCTGATTTCTAACAATGCAAACATTGAAGCTTAAGATACATCTGCTGCTCTGGTAACTTTATGCTGAGCTTTCAGCAGCCGAAAAATGTTTGTTGAGTGCAAATCAAGTCTCCAGCCAACAACTAAAACATAAGAAAGCAGCTTCAAGGCAAAGAAAATCTGACACGACTTCCCCATCTGGGTAAACAACCAGTATGAACCACTAACCTCGACACAACGCTCCGCTCCCACTAAACAAACGGCTTCACCGATCGGGATTCCCAGTCGGTGTCAGTTGTGCTCCAAAAGGCTTCATCACTTCATCATCGCTGTTGACAAAACAGGACACACAAATCACCTTAAACGCTTTGTGAATTAGTGTGCTCTGTTCTGCCAGCGAGACAAAAGAAATTTCCGCCACTCATCTGGTAAACAAGCCATCAGCTATTGTTTTTACTGGAACAAAGTCGTAATGAAATATTGTCGTGGAAACACAATATGTAAGGAAAGAGGGAGTGACACGGGCAAAAATACAACAATATAGTGCCCATAATATCAAAGTGGGAAAGATACTTTACAGAAAAGTCATTCAACATCTAAGATAGTGTGAAGAAGCTTGATTGTTACTT